GGACTGAAACAGTCCGCTGCAAATTGGTTCGACACCTTGGGAGATTACCTCATGACCAAGGGATTCATTAGATCAGCATCTGACCCTTGCCTGTACATTCAGCGCAATCAAGGGGGTGCTGGCGTCAAAAATGAAGTCGTATTCATTTTTGTCTATGTCGACGACATGTTGATTGCAGCTTCATCAACTACACTGCTGAACAAGACCAAAACCATGATCTCCAGCAAGTGGTCGACATCAGACTTGGGCCCATTAGCCCATTATCTCTCCGTGAAAGTCGTCCACAACCGTCAAGAAAGAACCCTCTCAATGTCCCAGAAAACATACATTGATAGGTTCACAAAGGCAACCCTTGGGGAAGATAGACACACAATCAAACCAGTAACTCCAATTTCTGGCATACCACAAAGGGAAAAGACCCTCACTGCAGGACCCAAAGAAGTCAGATCATACCAATCAACTATGGGATCCTTGAAGTATGCCGGAACTGTCACCAGACCGGACCTTTCAGTCGGCCTAAGCATGCTCTCCCAATTCATGACCAATCAGAATCAGAATCACGAAGGACAAGGACGCAAAAGTGTCGGCTACGCTGGAAAAACCAGCGATTTCAGCATCAAGCTCAATGCACAAGACCAAAGAGGTCTTTGGGGACATGTCGATGCCTCATTCGCATCATCAGAAGACCGGAAAAGTCGCACCGGCTACGTCTTTTTCTATGCAGGTGCACCCATCGCAGGGAAATCCAGCAGCAGACTAGCACTGCTAAATCAAGCGCAGAAGCTGAGTATATGGCGCTGTCAATTGCAGGTAGTGAAGCCATTTGGTTAAATCGACTACTGGAAGACCTGGGGTGCGGAACGAAGGGACCAATCCCTATTTTTTTCAGACAGCGTCTCCGCCATTTGTATGGCCGAGAACACCAAAACTCACGGGCGGAGCAAGCACATTGATGTCCATTGGCACTGGATCCGAGAGCAAATCGACAAAAAGGCCATTGAATTACATCATGTGAAAAGAACGGAGAACATTGCGGACGGCCTGACCAAACCGCTTGCTGGACCACAATTCCGTTAATTTGTCCGATCGCTAGGTTTTAGAACCAGCGATGAACCCATTGAAGAACCGGGGGGTGCGAGACCCTTGGCTGAAAAACCGCTGAATTAGCGGAAGAACTGAGTAGGGCTCCGAAAGGAATAAATGAATGCGAATAAGCACATTATTCATATTCGCATTCATATTTGTCAACAAAAAGAGGGTCGCCATTTTACTAGTGCGCCCGAGGAATATTCAGCACCCCCTCTGCCTGACGATCGTAAGGCTCTCAACGACCTTACTAAGCTCATCCCCTATTTATTCTGCACTTTCTATAGTATATAGAAAACACACTCTCAAGTACTCAATTGGCTATGCCCGTACTAGTCCGTACTGTAACGACCACATTCCGACATAGTATCAAGAATCATACTCTCAAGTACTTTGCTGTACTAGTCCGTACTGCCCCGGTCGAAGTTCGACACCACAGCTTAGACCACCATTTGAGATTTCACCAGTATATTGAATCGCGACTTCCAGTTCATACTGGCAGAAGCAACGAAAAGTACCAACATCGCAAGATGGGCTTTTCTCTGGAACACCGACATTGACATGCTCGAAATATATGTCAGGTATGAGTCTAACCTCTCACAATGTTACCATATCAGTCATTATCATGACGCTGACTTCTGCGCCTCTCTATTTTCGAACAAGTGACCGTCTTCATTAGCTTAGAAAAGTAAGATGTTCTATCTTTGGTTATTAACGACCTGAGACAGGAAGATCGCTTCAGACAATTACCGTTTATGCAAGGCGATCCGCAGTCGCGCTTCTACGCCGGAACACCTTTGACAAGTGATAGTGGCATAAACCTAGGATGTTTGTTTGTATTGGACCCCGAGCCCCGCGGAGGGATGTCAAACATCGACAGGGACACGCTAGGGACAGTGGCAGCCCTAATCATGGGCTATCTGCGGGTTAGTCGCCAGGCAGCAGAAGGGAAACGAGCTTCACGCCTGTTGCATGGTCTCCACCTTTTCGTTAACGGCAACTTAATTTCCTGGCCAGAATCCTATGTCGTTCTGCCCGATGTTTCAGGCGAAAGACCTCACTCGCAGGCATTCCCCCCCTCTGAGATAGAATGAGCCGCTCTACAAATTCTCAAGGGCTGGAAGTCTTCTTGACAAATGCTGAAACTCTTCATGCACCCCCCAAAAACAGCGAGAAACGCCTCTCGAGCCCGTCCGATGAGTTGGACATATGTATTGCAGCAAGCCCAATGGAATCCTCGGGTAGCTCGCAACAGACCGATGGTGCTTTTTCCGACGGCGGCTCGTTGGAATACTCGACTAGCAATTCATGGCTTTTCCAATGAGCCGCAAATCTCTACGGGAAAGTCTGGATTTCGATGGTACTGGAGGTGCGAAGCTTTTGGCTACCACCGAAGAATCATCAAAAGATTCTACCGAGAGCCCTCGCTACTCCAATGAATCACAAAGTCTTGCGCCTGTTCTTCCGATGTAGACCAAATGGGCGATACAGTGTCATCCGCAGCTACCAGTCTCGACATTGAATTTCTGAATCAACTGATGCGTCGCTATCCCAAAGAAAAACTCTGATCTTTCCCTCACGACGGTATCCCCTCTATGTTGGACGAACGTTATTCATTGGATGCGTCTCTCAAACGGAGGAAATAATCTATGACCACGGAAACCGTTAAACCCAACGCGTATTCCCCTGATGCGTATCAGGTCATTTTTGTCCCACTATGGAATGCCACCCATTTGCAGTGGCTCGCGGGATGTTTCTTTTGGGCTCCCCAGCCAACGCGAGTGTTCAGTCGTGCTATCGATCTCAGCTCTGTATTTGGCTTGCATCGCCCATCACGACAGAATACAGTCGGGTTGAATCAGCTATCGCAGATCGTCAAAAGGGTGATTTCATCAGTAGTATATCTCATGAGCTGCGTAGCCCATTGCATGGCGTATTGGCTGCCGCTGAGCCTTTTGGTGGCACGGGTCTGAACGAGTTCCAGGAGTCTCCTTGAGACGACACACGCATGTGGTCGAACTCTTTTAGATACCAAGAACCAGGTATTGGACTTCAGCAAAATTATGTCATTCGAAAGGTCGAAGAGGAGGATCCAACGAGGAACGGATTTCTGGAAAGGGAAAGTCCCGGATGTAGCTCCACCGCGCCTTGATACATTTTGTATTGATATATGTGGCTATCTTGGCGGAGAACGTTGTGGACAGCGTGAATCAATGGTATCGGAGGGTGGTTCTACACCCGAGTGTCTATTCAAATACTGAGTCAACGTTCAAGCAAGCCTTATACTGTTTCGGGGCATTCGTTGATGCACCTATGCTCACTGATTGCATCAATCTTTCACGCTTCAATTCTGGCTTCTTCTGTCTGCATCTGACAGACTTGAGTAACTGGACGCACGAGAATCCAATCCAATATGCGGAAAGCATTTTGGCTAAAATCAATGCTACCGACCTGGAATTCGTCTTGCGAGATGAGGCTGGTTCGGATAAATAGAAAAGCCGCGCTATCGGAATTGTCTCCCGACGTGTCAAAATCTCATGCATGGAAACTGGAATCAGCCCGTCAATACCGCGTGATTTTGCTACTCGGCTATTTCACGTAAATTACTAAAAAATCTATATTGAATTCAAATATGATTAAAGCTCCTAAGAACTCTCAGGAAAACTTACTACTTAAAAGTCCTATCCTAGAAAGAGCATCAGAAACTGGAGGGCAAAGCCCGACCGCCACCAAGGGAGGTACAGCGGAAACTCTCGGGGATTAGATGATCTAAGTGTCTAGTGAAATCGAAGCGCTCCTCCGAGTATTATTTTCATTTTCAAAGGCAAAATTTATATCGAGGGTTGGTTCGACGGCCTTCCAATTGATTGGTGATTCGAAGTAACTCCGAACGGTTGGACGTCCGATGAGATCAGCCTTCGTTGGTAAAGCGAAAGTTGATTGATTCATGTCTATCCTCAGGTTCAGAATTGCCCGTGAATCCCATACACTGGAGCCGCAGCTTAGCGCAAGGTTGCGTACACCAATCACAGAAATGTGATCTATCAGTCGCCGGCGGTAAGTTACCGCCAGCTTGTTCTGACTGAAGGATTTATCTCGACACTAGCCAATCATACATAATAAACACCTTACTTCTTTCACTGCGTTTACAGACAGAAGGTTGGATGGATGAATTCATTTACCCTGACCTCTCGCAAAGCGATAACGTATTCGGTAAACGAGCTGGCATCCTAACCTAAAACGCGTCTATGAAAATGTTGTGATATGAGGCTGGTGCAGATCAGGAACCAAGCCGCACCGTCGGAATTAGCTCCGAAGTGTCTATACAGACGACCAAGTTGATTACCAATCAACTTGGCTCATTGTTGTATATATAGGCTCATGTATCCCTCTGAGATAAGTAAATCCATACCTCTGAACAACAACAGAAAAAACACTTAACTACTTCAGCCACCTACTATGCCACCAATTCGTACCCAAAACTCTAGAAAACTGATAGGGTCAGAGGGTAGGTTTTTATTAGCTATTAAAGCTACTGAAACTACCCAGATGCCCTCTGTTAAGGAAGTAGCGCGCATTCTTAGTGTGCCTCGTTCGACCTTACAGAAACGGATACGCGGCGATATAAATCGCGCGACTTCTCGCGCTAATCTACATAAATCAACAGAATTAGAAGAGCAATCTCTTCAAAAATGGATCCTCTCCCTCGACTTTTGATCATCATTCAAAAAGCACACTGTTGCCAACTTTTGCTTGCCAAGGCACTTGAGTATGTTCTCTTCTTCGTTTTATATCTTCGTCTGCCGTCATCAAAGTACACAGTGAGTTCTTTTGCCGGCAATGGCCAGTTACACAGTTAGCGTCAGCAGAGGCCCGTATGTATAACAGTACTGGGATATTGATTATACTAAATATCAGGAGTTGATATTCAATTTCGTTCCGCTGATAGGGTCTTCAAAAGTGGAAGTACGCTGAACGACCTTGAGTCCACTCAGAGTTGACCTCACCTCTTGAAGTAGGTCAGCGCCGAAGGTGGGATATTCATGAGTTTCCTTCACGAATTTGTAGTTCTCGTCTCGAAGGTATCCTTCGACCGATGCCGCCGCTAGGATGCAACGAACCAAATGCCCTGGAGGCAAAAACGTTGCCCAAATAATATGCTGACGTGTGAGGCAATAGGTATTGGTATCGATATGTCGTACAGAAAAGTCGTCGCTTCGGGGGTCAGGATTGGCAACAAGTATATCCTTGATATACCGAGCCATTTGAGATTCCATCCCAGTAATATTGCACATGTCTGCTAGTCTGACGAGCTCTATTGTAGCCGAGATTCGATCTTTTGGTTCTTTGGAATCGAATTGGATTTTGCGCAGGTATAGCCACTGTATGAGTGCTTCGAAACTCCGCACCGAGACTACCCCTTCGAGATCTTCTAGAATTGCTAGATCCTGTGTCCCTTCTGCAAAGTTACCTTCAAACATTGCTGCAAAATAGGTAGACCCTTTGCAAAGGAGGTGCTTTGAAACTTCGTATTTGTGGTCGCTAGAGCCTGTCTGTATTTTGACAGTAGGATCATGATACAGTGGAAGAAGGCTAGGTGAGAGGAGGCTTAGACACCGTCATGCTAGATGATACTTTAATGTATATTCTGGTGGAAACTAGAGATGAAGAACCTGCTTTCATGTACCTTTGGGCCTACTAACAAATTGCATCACCTCACGTGATCGGTACTTTGACGAAGTAGGCAAGTGCTCTGCAACCCAATGTCGCATAATGGCGTGGCTGAACATTGGGTTTCCTTCGCTTACCCATATCAGGACCGGATGAGGTTGGTTTTTCCAGAAATGAAACACCATGTACAAGACCTCTATGTAAAAATTCCCCGTTATTCCGTTCTTTCGCTGGTCCCCTTTATTATAGCGCATTGCTCCATTCGGTACGATATCCATAAGTCTCCTTGCAGCTCAATCACTGGCTAGTCAAACGCTGCAGTTTTGGGTTGGCATTGGCCAGTATCAATTTCTCAGCTCTCCACTTCAAGGGCTTGGTCATATAAGTAGGGATCCGAAAGGATTGTGATTGTTCATGAATATAAGATTAGTTCATATTTATTCAAATATTATGTCGAGAAAAGACAGTCGCGAATTTGCCAGTGCACCTTAAAACATTCAGCAATCCCATCTGCCTTAAGATCGCAAGGCTCTCAACGACCTTACTAAGCTCAACCTCTTATGATTTAATCTGCACTTTCTATAGTCCATAGAAACACACACTCAAGTACTCACTTGGCTAAGCCAGTACTAGTCGGTACTGTAACGCCCGCGTTCCGACAATAAGAAACGAAGTCCCGAGGGAAGGACTCAGTCAGCACATTGGCTCCTTTGAGGTGTTGCTATTCCCTGGTGCTGAGGTTGGTGGACTCAGTGAATGACCTCTAGGCTAAATCCCATCATCAGGCAAAAAAGACAAATTGTGGGTTAGAAAACTTGAACGTTGACGACTGAGCATCGAGGTATGACTTACCTTGCCGTTGAACTAATGAGTGAGGAGCGGGAGCAATCTCCGATATGTTTTTGCCGCATCAGCCGTTCGTTGCATCCGAGATGTTTGAGATGTAGTTTTCCATGGGCCTCGGAAAAGACCCTTGCTCGGATGAGGCCCATTTACTGCCAATTTATTAGGGTCAACTCTCGGGCTGCGAAACCGGACGAACTTTCAATGGCTGCGCTGGGAAACCAACGATCTGAGAACTTGACCGCCCCTCACACAGGATGGGTCATTGCGGGGGTCGTAACTAAAGACCTCGGATTCTCAGTATTCGATAGTGTATATAATACATTTACTTGTGGAACTGCAGAGCTAGCTAGGAAGAGTGATTAACGTAAAATAAAGGGTCATCACACAAGGATGTGGAAATTTCGGGCGATAGTAGACAGACACGTCACTAGGCCAAAATGCGCGCGCATGCATTTTTCTTGTAGTACACTGTATAATAGTTTTACTAAACACAAAGGCCCGTAGGTTTAAGGCCACCACATCGCGGGTTGAGGCGAAAAACTTCGGACGTTTTCATTATCTTGATCGCTTTTGCTTGCTTGGCATGGGATGCTTGTTCAAATGAGTTTGGTTTTTATGGTGCCTTTCGCCGTGTATGGCCCCAGCCTTCTTACGGGCTCACCGGGTGGAGAGGAAAACGACACTAAACGTGGGTTGTTTCGACATGAACAGCAGCTGGCTTGGACGGAGCCCCGTAACCCCCACTATATCAGGCCCACTGCGATGGGAAATTCAAATAACGGATGTGACACTAGTAGACCCCGCATTTTAGTTCTGCCGAGATACGACTATTGCACCTCTCATACCCTTATAAAGGGGCTGTCTCGTAAATCTGTCGCTCATTCCTCAAAATTATCCCCGAATAGCCCGTCAAAATGTTTATATCTTCCCTTGGTCTACTGGCCTTTGTCGCATACACGCAAGCGGCCAACTTGACGGTGTTGTCCACTGCGATGACTCCGAATGGCTTCCATAATGCTGCCCGCGGCTGGAACTCTTTTGGTATACAGGCAAACTCGGCGACAACGCCGAGCTGGGGCGAATTCAACCAGGGCAACGTCACGCGCCAATGCGATGTCCTCGCCCAGCCTCACTTTAAAGCCGCTGGGTATCAATACTGCAGTCTCGACTCCGGCTGGTCCCTGGACGAAGGCGACAACAACGGTCGTCTTCTCTACGATCCTTCTCTGTTCGACCTTCCCGCCTTTGCAGAACATCTGCACCGCAAGGGTCTTCTGCTCGGCGTCTATGTGCTCCCGGGCGCGCTTTGTGACGATGGCAACAAGACGATCCTTGGAACGAACGTTCAGCTCAAGAGCACTTTCAATGGCAACAACGATGGCTTCCTCAGATGTGATTTTGACTTTTCCAAGCCAGGAGTGCAGGAATGGCACGATTCCGTCATTCACTTGTTCGCGTCTTGGTGAGTAGATTTCAAGAAGCCAAAAATGAGCATTTCTGACTTGTCCAAGGGGAGTTGACCTTGTGAAAGTAGATTTTGTTACTCCGGGCTCGCCTGACAATGGCGCAAACCTAGTTGTTGACAATAGTGGCGCCGTGGTTGCCTACCATAAAGCCATTGCTAAGGCGAGCCGGCCTATGCGTCTGGACATCTCGTGGAAGCTGGAGCGCAACAACACCTACTACGATATTTGGCGCGCGAATGCCAATACTATGCGCACAGACCAAGACATCAACAACTCCGGCAAGAGCACCTTTGTCGAGTGGGCGACAGTACAGCGCGCTATAGAAAATTACCGCCAGTATATCGTTTTGCAAATTCCAAAGGACCAGCCCCTCTCAATCTACCCTGATATGGACAATCTCTATGCTGGGAACTCCGCTAAGATAACGGGCGTTTCCGACTCCATGCGAGAGACGATCATGAGCCACTGGCTTGGCGCTGCGGCGAATCTCATCACCGGATCCGATCTGACCAATCTTGATAACCTCGGTGTGAAGCTGTTGACCAGTCAGACGGGCATTGCCATTGCTGATTTTGCTGCAAAGTACCTCATGCAACCGCGCAACCCCGGCAGTGGTGGGACGGATGCCAAGCAGCTGCAGGCGTGGATTGCCGGTCCAGATCTCAAGGCTGGACAAGCCATCGTTATCCTAGCTAACTATGGCCCTGATCAGGGCCAGGGTGGCTTCAGCACCCAATTAGCTGGTAAGCAGAAAGTTTCCATCAGCCTGGAAGATCTTGGACTGGGTAGCGGTCCCGCATTCAATGTGGAAAACGTGTGGTCAGGCAAGTCTTCTGTAATCGAGCGTGGTGGCTCCCTTTCCGAGAGCCTAGCAGAAGGGGAGTCAGTGCTGTTGAAGCTGTCACTGAGATGAAAAGAGGATCGATGATATCATAGTTGGCATCACTTGACCGCTAAAGCTTATATTATGTTAAAGTGGAAGAGAATCTGTCGAGAAAAGAGGTTCGCAATTTGGCCAGTGCGTCCGAGGATAATCGTCATCCCCATAGCTATTTAACCAGGTCTGATTTGAGCCATAATCGTGAAGCTCTCGTCGGGCTTTTGAAACAAGTTCTGCACCTTCTATATTTCTTAGACGACACTCCTGAGTACTCAATCAAAAGCTATGTCCGACACCCAAACGCGAAACGCCCCCACCCCCAAACGTAAAACTTCGCCACAAATCCCAAATCTCAGAATCAAATTCGCCTAAACCAATAATAAATAAACTAGTTACTAAATTAACTGAGCCTTAGAAGTCGTACGCTTTTCTTTCCATGTTCCCTAAAGTTGCGACAGTGCTTGAGAAGATTGGCTTGTCATCATGTTCGATCCCGGCAATCCTCTCCACGATCAGAAATCAAATGAATGATTCAAAACTTCGTACGCTAGAATTTGACGTGCCATACTTATGGCGTCGCGCTCAATGGAAAGCACGAAAATCACTTCTCGCACGCCCTTTCCATGGTCAGCGATTCGATTCTTGCCCAAGAATAACTATTTGCAGTAGGAATCCGAGAAAAATATGATTCCACGTGGATATTCATCAATATCGCTGGATTCGCGTTCAATACTGACCCCTACCGAAGGGATCGATAGATAATCGCGAGCGGCTTTTGCCATGAGTGGACTATTAACGCGTTAGCCTTCAACCACTTTATGACCCATTCTGCGTCCGCGTCGCCGATTGGGTGGTGGGACCAGTTGACTTGGAATCAAAGTACTTGTCAAATCTGACAAATATGCCTCTTTGGATGACTGGACTTGGTGCAGAGACCTCTACATTGTTTCCGACATCCCCGCTGGACGTCGATAGTCAACTTCACACGACACAAATGGCTCTGGGGGGTATTCTTGTTAGGAAAATCGATCGGATCGAAACCTCATGGGGCAAGGGTAAGCCGGTAGTGCCTCTGTTGATGCTAGACGTCTCCGGGGGCATACGACAATGTTTCCCACGCACGTCTACTCCATTATCTCAAGAAACGATGCCCGAGATGCTTTGTTCCCTGGGTGAAGGCTTTCTTGAGAAACCGAAGCACGAGATTCTGTATGCCCGAACGCATGCCCGATAGAGTTCGAACGCCTATTGGCATCCCGCGAGGGTCGCCGATATCACCAATACCCTATCTAATCTACAATGCAGACCTCATTGAAAACTGCGGGGCAGGTATCACTAGCAATGGTTGGGTAGACGATGTCTGCTTCATGGCCAAAGAACGCGAGACTATCGAGAAATTAAAGGCCGCATGTCGCAAAGCCGACCGGTGGGCCCAGAAGCATACGTCAGTCATCGATTCGAAAAATATCGCTCTCATCCACTTCGTGAACACCAGAAACCGACGCTCAATACCTTTCACTGCGTCTACGAGAACACACTGTGCCAGCGGCAAAGACACCCGAGCGATATCCGGGATAGTGGCTGGACCCAATACTGGACTTTTACACCGACCGCACGACAGCAGCGCAGAAAGCAAACATCTCTCTTAGGGCACTACGAAGCCTAGCAGGCTCCACCTGGAGGACCTCGCTGCAGGCCATGTGCAAGATCTACCTAGCAGTGATCATCCCACAGATGCTTTTTGGTGTTTCCGCATGGTATCAACCTATACTCATTAGCAATCCAAAGCTCAGCCAATCTGCCGGATTTTTGTGACAATCCAAAAGCAGGCAGCTTGTCTTATTAGCTGAACTTTCAGAATCATAGCAGCGGAGACATTGAATACGGAGCTTCACCTGCCAGCTATCTCGGTTCACATGAATTGACTAGTGAAAGAAACACCGCTTCGACTACGAACAGGACCGGAACTCGGTATACCGCCAACCATGATACGACGTCGACCGGCCCATGAAAGAGACTGGACTGGATGGACATCAATGGAAGGGTAAGCCTAGAAGACGAGTGGATGTCTGACGAATTCCCGGGAACTTTGACGAGACACTTGGAGAGCCGAAAGGCATTCGTCCTGACACCATGGCAACCGCCGCCGGAAGTCATCGTCGAGGACAGAAAGACAGCAGCGGAATTTCATGGGGAGAAGGTGGTAAAGGCATAAAAAGAGCGACCTTTAATAATATACACCGACGGAAATGGAATCGGGGGAAGAGTGGGCGCGGCGGCAGTAATTGACCTCGAAGACCATGTGGTCCACAGTGAGATGGGCGGCGGCAACACAACGAGCGTATACGCTGCGGAGTTATACGCCATCGAGATAGCGCTGGAGTCAGTTATTAATAGTACCGAGCCCTGGGCTGCACAGGTAAGGATTGGGCTAGGTATCTTTGCCGACAGCCAAGCGGCGCTGAATGTGCTCTGCCTGCAGGTCAGATCTGATTGGATGCCCAGACCCCATCCGCCAACTGGCGGAGCGAAGAATTCGAACCGAACTCCGATGGATCCCGGCTCAGCAAAGAGTGCTGGGCAACGAGATCGTAGACCAGCACACAAGAGAAGCGGCCCAGTACCTCGACGCTTCCCAGAATCCTCACAATCGATATGTCCGCCTTGTAGCTGCGACGAAGGGTTGATTTTCCAGAGGGATAAAAATTGAGTGGAAATGAGCGTGGGCATCGGAGAAGACCGGTCGACCGACCAAAATATTGATTGAGAGACCACACAAGAAGAGACTAGAATACTGGTCGGAATTACGCAAAGCAACTGCATCCATCCTGGTGCAGCTGCGCACTAGGCGCATCAGCCTAGGTGCCTATTTGGCTCGTGTTAAACGGCGAAAGTCGGCACAGTGCAATTGCAACTTGGGCAACCAGACGGCAGCACGTGTCCTGCTCGAGTGCTCGTTGCATCAAGAGGGGCGGGACGAGTTGCGAAGTACCCTGTCTAAGCAGGCAATCACGCTCCGTCATGACAGAATTGCGACATGATTGGAAGCGCGCATACTTGTGTCCGAGTTCACGACCAGAACTGGCCTCTTGGGCTAGTTCCAAGAGGTGGATCCAATTGCTTTGGGTGTGGAAGAGGTGGAGGAACAATGACTCCTAGACAGTGTGACGGAAGGAGAACAATGGTGCCAATTATGTGTGCAGTGCCAGGTCAACTTTACTCCCTTGAGTCAAACGAGTGCAAGAGCGGATGTCGACAGCTGAGGAGGTTCGAGGGGATTGGAGAAATTTGGGGACAGCAGAAGACGATGCATCATGCAGGGGTCCCGGTGGGGTCCCGGTGAAGCGGTGAGGACCAGGAACGTTCATTTTCTTGCGGGGAAGTGGTTGAACACTTGCAGTCTGCTTTCTTTTGCGTTTATTCACTTCCATACTTGATACCACCAGCGAGAGGCTCATCCTTCTAGCCTCTCTAGGTCAATCAGTGGGATGGTTACCCCTGTCAGCTGGCGGCGGCCCCGATAGTACACCCGCATAGCAGCCTATATCTAGAGCGAGCTACACCGGGCAAATGAATTCATCATCATCATCATCATCATCATCATCATCATCATCATCATCATCATCATCATCTTGTCTCGGTGGTATTTAATTTTAGCCCAAGAAATTCTGAGAGCGTTCATCACAGAAAACGTAGGGGTCCGACATTATCAATTCCAGTCGAACCTAAGAGGTCATTTCCTGGTGGAACGGGCCAACCACAGGTACAATCGAGAGCGGCCATCGGTCAGAAAGTCTACAACCAATAATTGCGGCATCTGTTGAAGCACTCCAACACTCATGAAAGAGACGGTGACCGTGGCTAGTGACCGTGGTCATAAGAGGCAGAGTAGTCTGCCACCGCGTTAAGCGATTTATGTGACAATCATTTTCTTGCGATATCACTGTCTTTTCACAGTTGATGGAGTGGTTAACCACATTCAACGCAGGCTGTGAAATCAATTACTCCAGGTAGAAACTTGACTCTGTGGGCAACAAGGTCTTCTAACACCATTTTCAACGTTGTTCATATGATAAGGAGACAGTGATTCTCGCTATCAACTGCGTAACTGGTTCCTTGGTCGAGACGTAGCCGAAAAATCATAAAAGAACCCGAAATCCTAGTCCAAAATAACAAAAAGATCAGGACTTCAGTCCTCGCACTCCGATGTGTCATGGTGCCCTCTCGTGCCCACAGGCTTGAGAGCTTCCATGACGACGGCTGTTCCACGAGGCCAGCGATGTCAGAATGTGCCTCGCAGGACGGACTCTGCGTTATCAAGTGTGCTTTGCAGGATAGGTCTGCGTCAACAATATTCGCAGGGGGGGGGGACTGGAAGGCACGGCGATACCACAACGCTCAATGACGGTAAATTGGGCGCCGATAACGGCTAGTTTTGACGCCATTTTAACTGTCCTATTTACCAGGTTCTTAAGCGTCAGAGTATCAAGTGATTCGTCTCCGCCCACTCGTTCAAGCCATGTCAATGTAATAGAATAGTTGACCTAGGTTAAGTGCAGAAAAAAAAAAAGTATTCGAAGAATGGCAGGCAATTTTCGACATTCACTATGCATACAGTAGCCATGTTGCTTATCTGTGGCAGTGCATACTGCATAGGTATAATGCCTTACATATACTAAACGAGGTATATCATCTGGAAACACCTACTAGCAAGTTCGATGAAATCATTCGTGAAAGGCTTTTGTTGATTTTCTATAATAAAGATGCTATGGAAGTGCCATCACCCAAGGAAAGGCATCAATTTAGAAGCCAATAATTATCGCTCGCAGCCAGGAGCCGTTCATGCTCAGCTTTCAGCTGCCGGGAATCATTCTCCTCAAACCAGAAAGCCCAGGTGCTCTGGGTATTTACCTCAATATTATCACGGCTGGATCGTAACCCAACATGCTGTAACTGCTGCGGCGCCAGCGCCAACCGCGTCAAGCCAGTCTGATCAGCATACTCCTCAATCATGCTATCTGTCTGCCCGGCTTTCTTTTCTTCCAGATGAGTCACCAAGGCCGGCACCTGTTCGCGAGGGAAAACTAGCCCTTGCGTGCAACATCCCGGACCATTCATCTCCACTACACCTTCCAGCGGAAGCAAGGAGTATTTACCCATCATGTATAGCAATGCCGTGTAGGCTGGGATAATCACCAAACACACGGCTGCGATAGTCCAATTATTAAGAGAGGAATGGGTGCTATGCCAGTGTCGCCGAATAAGCAGCAATGGAGCGCATCCAGATCCCATAACCAAAAGGAATGCCAGAGGCATGTTCCGATACCAGAAGTCCGAGGACGACCACATAAGAGAGGTTTCCGTGTAGAAGAGGCGCAGATAGATCCATGTATTGTTGCGTGCAGTCGGTCCGTGGGATATTTGGTGCAGACTGTTCATGGTTTTTACAAACCATCCGTCGGCGAGTATGACATCGTCCTCAAGGATGAAAATGTACGGGGCACCCGTTTCGAGACATTTATTAAGTAGATAGACGTAGTCGCTAATTTGGTAGACCATACCGGAGCTTTTTGAGAGGGAAAACATACTATACACCCTTTTCATAGAAGTTATGCTGTTCTTCCAAATCTCGCAAATGGCGAAACTGCTCCTCAGAGACATTGTACGAGGATACTGAATCCACTAATCGGCCCAACCATCTCTGGGCCCAGCTGGGATGTTGAGTTGGATCGGTATTTGCGAATAAAACCGCTAGATGGAGGGCGTGTCTTTCTCGAACATCAAGACCAGCTAACAAAGATCCCACGGTCGCTTCGAAGTAATCGTCCCTGTCGCGTTTTACAGTGGCCAGCGCAGCACACATTAAGGGGCGGTCATTGCCCAGTTTGTCGTCGAGCCCGCTGCCAGATGGAGCATTGTACACAGACGTGAGATGTAGAGCTTGATGCTCTCGCAGAAGACTGTATTTCCACTCGAACACATTGCGAATATCGAAAAAGGCCGAGTGAGGATCGCGCCAGAAGCGGATTCGGCAGTACTGGAAGGCGAGGAGGTATACGAAACCCGCGATCAGGAGAACTTTTGCCGCGGGTTGTTTGAGCAGATGCAGCAGAGAATGAGGACTGCCAACTCTCATGGTTGCAATCCTGATTAGAAAAGAGTGAGATCGGGTTCTGAAATTGCGCCCAGAGACTCCAGTGGAGATTCGGCTTAGCTCGATACACTTCTCCACCCTAACTGTTCTGAGGATTGATTACGTTGGGGCCAAATCTGAGTCATAAATAATCACAATAGAGTAAGCTCTGAAGTACACTTATATTCGAAAACAGTTTCCCCTGCGGAGACTCGGACTTTCTCTCACAAAATGTAATTAAACCGATCTTTACAATGGAATGATGTAGCCATAAATTATCCTAGCAATGATTGGCTATCATCTCGAAAGTATTTCCTGTTCCGGTTTAGCTTCGTAATGGGTAAAACCCGAGAAACAACGTGTGTGTCCAGAGGGGAAACTGTTTTCGAATTTCTTTGTACAGCAAGGAAGGAAAAGCGCGACAGACTCATGTAGGAGGAAGAGCAACATTTCTCAAAAAATGAATCGAGAGGACGATAAGCTACTTGTTAGGGTACTTTGGTACTGTAGTTTTCGAAATCAGTGTCGACGATCGATGGATCGGTAAGGTCTCGTACGTAGCAATGGATTATCACTAAACAGCTTTTTCTCTAAAAATATCCGTCCGCCTGTTATATAGTTACATACTCAGACTCAGGGGCTTGCTTCTTAGTAAGCTTCTCTTGTGGATCCTGTCCAAAACGGGCTTAGTGGTAAACTACCACTGACACATTGATTGTTTTATCTATCTGGATCTTGCTGTTGGAGCGTTCTTGAATTTCAGTGTCGTTTCTAGCGTGTTACAACGCTGATATGCCGAGCGTACCCCGTTTAACATACAGAGACAAAGAGAGAATGGGTACTTGATGAATTACCCTGTCCTGAATGGTAAAATACCACCCCCTCAATTCGACACAATGACATCTTGAATGCCAATCGGCTCATGAAACTTGTCTTGACATTCATGGGTCATATTTCAGCTCGCTTTGCACCTGAGCCAGCGACGGAGGCGTTCGACGCCAGTGTTCGTCTGCTTTTCTCTCCTCTTTCCCTGCCCTGTCTCGCACAGCGCAGTCAAAAACTTTCTTAGACGAACGCATCAAGTGTCACCAGGTTAGTGGGAATGATGCTGCCGGCGCCCTGGTTTCCCACGGTACAGCCTCACTATCGCGCGTGAACCAGCCCGAACTGCGAACTCCCACCCGTGCAGTCGGTGACGTCGTGTTGTCGAGGTTTTTAGGTTCTTTCTCTTCTAGCGACATCATCGCACTGAGGGGGTTTGTTTTATTTCGAGCTGGCCCAGAAAATCTCTCTTATAGTCATGTGGTGATAAGATACTGTTAGTGGTAGACTAGAGCCCGTTTCGGAGAGGACATACGGAAGAGGTGCTTACTAAGAAGTAAGCCCCTGAGTTCTAACTAGTATGAGAGAAAGAGACGAAGATGATAGCTGTTTAGTGATCATTCATTCCTACGTAAGAGACCTTAGCGATTGTTCGATAGTCGACAGATACTGTAATGAGATAACGTGGTATATATAGCTTGAAGAAAAGTTGATAATGAAGCATGGGTGTGGTCTAACGCACGGTTGAAATCAGGCCTGGTTAGACATTGGTGAAAACGACCACCTCGGCATGGCTCGTGTAATAAAATTCTCCCGAGCATGGTGTTTGACCAAACTACAACATCGACGAGTGCGTTTCAAGACCATTCATTCCGGCTATTGGTACTCTTGAGTGGACAATCTCTGCCACGACAAAGCTAATAGGGGAGTTTCTTTTTCCTGCCATCCCCAGCTTGGATAATCCGATTGTCATGGTGAACAGGACTTTAGGGACTGTTACGTGTCCCCCACCTCATCCCTATCTTCAGAGCCCACATCCGAGGCACCATGCCGAACAACCACCGAAATCCCTCCTCCCATGGGCCTAGCCCTCACTAACATAAATTCGCCTTAGCACTCCGCGACGCAACGAGCTACGCCGGGTCTGATTCACACACCGTTTATCCAAACATAATCAAGCTATTGGCAAGCTTACCGGGATTGAAGCATGGCGAATAATTATATACATCTCTGGAAAATACTGGTGAATATCCTAAGGACGGCCTTCACAAGTGAACCCATCTGATAACGGTTTTTTAGCCCAAATCCTTTTTGCGCGTTGGTATGCATGCATGCGAGGGTTTTTCAACGCCTTGCGCATCTGAGCAACATATACCAGGACTTCATCCTTGGACCACGGCGTTGGGTCTCCGTACTTCGTGAGCAAGTACATTGAATATCCCTCCATTCCATCCAGCCAGTGCTGGATATTCACCAAATCAGCGGCCTTTAATGATTTATCTCGTGGCCAGGGGCCAATCGGCCATTTTTTGGTCTCTTCATGGATGTCAACAAAGCCAGCAGTTTCAATAAATGAGCGCATTGTTTTCGTTATGTCGAGCGGTTTCCCAAGCTTTTTACCAGCAGCAAAAAATCGAGGCCCCCACGTTAACAAAACGCTCTCCGGTGGAATACTTCCGTCATCACACTCGCAGCGAATATCCATCTCAATTTGCTCGAACCAGCCTCCAGGCTCAAGGTTGTCGTAGCATTGCTTATATAGGTATTCCCATTCGTCGGGGGTAAAAGCTCCGATGCCATGGCGCAAGTGGATCAAATCAAATTTCTCACGCCAAGTCCATCGTTGCAACACGTCGTCCACCTCAAATAGACAATTTGGCGGGATCCAGGTATTTGGCGGGGGAAAGAGATCGACGCCCCGAACAACAGCGTTAGGGAACATATCAGCAATGTCAATAGCCCACGCGCCTTGTCCAGTGCCGATGTCGAGCACGTGCCTTGGATTCTGAACCGGCGCACAATACAATGGATTTGCTCTCTCAGAGTTCATGAGCAGGGCAGCGAAATGACCCACTTCATAGGTCTCGAATTGTTGTTCATCGGCAGGGCTAAAGTACTCGGAGCTTCTGAGCGTTTGATACCGCCTCCCGTTCTCCATAAAACCCTTGTATAAATCGGTTGCGATCGAAGTAGTCTCGGATTGCCAGTCATCAGGCTCGTAGGTGCCCGACTTGGGGTGATGGACAATTGAATCTGGAGCGATCTTGATATCTTCGAGCTTGTTGGCCATTATGGACAAGCTTGCACAACCAGGTACGAGAGCTTCAAAAAGTGGCGGGATTGTGTGTCTTGACACGCGTTGGTTATGGACTCGCGGCGCCGGGGTGTTATGTACCAACTACTGTTTTCAGAATCTCAAAATATAAATTGCGCCCCAAACAATGCTTGGGGAAGACAAGATTAGCGACCTTTCGAATTGAAAGCTTTCGCGCTGATCCTTACACCTCGAACCTCTCCGATTTGTCGGAGAAGATGGATGATCATCCCCGAACGCGGTCCGTGATAAGAGCCAATGATAGTACGCGTTTAGTGGGTCATTTTATGCACAAAACCTCTTTGAGGTCTGCCCGTATATCGGCTATGTACTTGATCAGGTGATATTATCCGCCTGATACTCGAAAGTCATTCATTTCACCGAGCGTTCTGCAAGCCCTGGTTGTAAGCAAGCCGCATTGTTCTTACATGTCCACCCCAACCCGGCTCATCAAGGACCAATGGCTCCCATATTCTATTGACATCTCAACCGGAGCTGTTCAAGAGTTTTTTCCAACCCACTGTCCCGTCCCTATTCCAGGCTGGACTCAAACCAAACTTACCTCTCCAAGCTATTTATGGTGACAATGTCCAAATCACGAGGACTTAGTTGTATCAATCACCAGAATTGTAAAACTTAGAACCGAAATTTGCAAGTGGAGGGCCATATCACCGACCGTTCTTCCTACGGTGATAGATCGCGATCCGAGAGTCCCTCCGTTGAAACAGAATGCATCTGCCATCCGGGTGCAGAGTGAACAGAGACGTGTGTTTGGCGAGTCGCGAGTGTTGTCGTGAGTGTTGTCGTGAGCGATTTATGCGGTTAACGTTTCATACACATACATCAGGAATTTTCCACATAAAATAGTAGAAAACTGAAAGATCCGGCGAGGCTGACGAAAGAGGCGCCTGTGTGAGGAAGTTTGATGATGGGAGGGCAAGCACTTTCCAATATTTTATTGGTTTCGAGGAATTATGCGTTTGTATCTAATCAAGAGGAATATGGACAGGCTATGGGCTAGTAAAGCAAACAAAACGAACTTGGCTCTAAAACTTTTGGCATTTCAAAATACGCACAAGCTGCATACTTGAGTTCACCCCTCGGAACGCCGATTTCTTCTCCCCGGCGCGGGCTTAGCTTTCTCTCCTTCTGGCGGTCAGAACGGCAGATCCTTCTCTTTCGAGCTTATGACTGACTGTTATCCACCGAGCTAAGACTCACGCTTCAAATTCATTGATCACCTATCTACCGTCCCTCTAGATGACGCTCGACAACACTCACATTAATGTTTCGTTTGAGATTTAAGGGAACAAATCTCTCAATGTTACGGGCTTTGTAAAGGGGGGGGGGGGGGGGGGGAAAAAAAAAAAAAAAAAAGGTGGGGTGGCAAATTAGCCATGGGGGGAGTTATTATTAAAAAAAAAAAGAAGAAAAAAAGACATGTGAAAAAAAAGAGGGAAGAAGGGGGG